GTACCTTTTTGGAGTGTGCGGAAGCCAACGAGGATACTGGGTGGATAACGGAGGAGCTCCACTGTCAATTAGCTGTCTCCGACTAGCGTCTGCGGTGGTGTGCGTCATTCATTCCGGCCGGGGGGGCCCTCGATCGACCTCCTTTTCGCACGAAAATGCCACGTGTCTTTATCTAAGGGCATGTACAATGGAGGCAGTACCCTGCTACTGGCCCATCTGCCAACAAGATAAAGAAAATCTGAAGCTACATGCATTACAAAAGTTACCCAACGCATGGGGTGGTCTCATGTATTTTACCGGGTCTCATGATAACTCTACTATCATCAACTTTATTTGCACGTAGATCGATTTTTCCTCACAGCACATTCTCTCCCTCCCCTTTCTCTCATGGAGGACCACACTTTTTGGCTGAAGAAGCTAGCTCCTCTGCAAGCTACACCAAGCCTCTGCAAGCTATAGTCTTTTCTACCAATTTTCTCCACGGCAACATTCATCGAACATGGAATCATGGGGCATGTGTCCAAGCTGGACCATTGGCCATGCCCTAACCTTTGCTACTATGTTTCCTTTTTTCTCTTTCTTTTTTATGGAAATGAGAGGGCTTCACTTTATTTTTACTACTCCCTCCGTTCTTAAATATAATACGTTTTGATGGTTCAATTAAACTGTCAAAACATCATATATTTAGAAACAGAGGTAGTAGATAATTGTATGTGCCTTGCAATGCATGATAAATAAATATTTTAGTAAGCCTGTGATTTACATGTCCATATTAGTGTGGTTACGTAAAAACTATATTTTATTTGGTAAACCCTTATTCGATAAGCACGTAGGATTTGTCACTTGCCCGGTTCGTGTCGGTTGTGCGTGAATTTATGGCGCTATGGGGAAGCTACAAGGTGTTGCGTTGACCAAGGCTGCGCACTCGGTCACTTGGAGATGGTCGGACAACGCAGGTGTTCTCGACGACTTCGGTTTATGTAGTCCAATTTGAGGGCTCGATGTAGTCGACATCCCCCATGCTTATCTGCAACAACGATACACCACACAAATGTCAGCTGATGGGCAAAGTGCCTAACCGCAGGTAATTTGGCGAAGAGGGGTTAGTCACACGACCTTGTGTGCCCCTTGTGTGTCACATTTCTGGAGGATGCACTCCACTTGCTTGTTGCATGTCTCTTCTCCAGAGAGATTTGACGGAAAGTTACTGAGTTCTACAACTTCCCATGTGACCTGCAGTTGGTGCCCACTATAGTCTCGCTATTGGCATGGTGGGAGCACAGTCGTCGGCCGGTGTCAGCGCCGCACTGGGGCCTTGTTCCTCACTTGTGCGGCTTACTTGGTGGGCCACATGGAAGAAAATAAATGCGTGGATCTTGAATGCATCAACTCTTCTCCAGCCCAGGCCTTACACGAGCTGACCGAAGAACTTGCAAATTGGAAGATGGCTGGGAGGGGGAATTGAGCTCCTAATCCATCACTCTCACGGGCCTTACTAATTGTTACACCTAGGTTGCGTGACAGTGTGGTCTTTTGGATGTTTTGTGTTCATGTAATTTGGGACTCTCCTCGGTCTCCTTGTAATCAAACCCCTCCCATAATTGAAGGAAAAGCTGCTCTATTAGCATTTTCATCAAAAAAATGTAAGTCCATACGAGGTGGGACAGATGATGCTTTTTCATGGGAAAACGATGGATAAAAATCCAGAAATAAGGATTCCGGTGAGCCTCCAACCTCCTCAGCGATTTGGGCTTCCTGGCCGTTGGATCGAAGCGCTTGATGCGATCTGAGCCGTCGGATCGAGCCTGGAATGACCTCGTTCGTCGAATAAAAAATAGCTACTGCTGCAATGAACAGTTTCACCTCGACCGTGCCACCGCGCGTAAATAGCCTGCCCCGCCGGGGGCATTTTCATCATTTTACAGACTGAGTATAAAATGCAGTGCTCCCGTGGAGAACCCAGTGCCCGCCTCGCGCCCGTCTGCTCCTCACGCACCCCCGCCGCCCCCCTCTCCTCTTTCTCCTGCGTCCCGCCTCACCTATCTCTCTCTCTCTCCCTCCAAACCCTAACCCGCCCCCGCCTCCCTTCCCCGCTGCCAGCAGCCGCCGCTGCTCGCCCTAGGGATGAGACCGTGTAGAGCGAGCGTCGGGTCGTTCCCCTCCCCCTCCCGCCTGCTCTCCTCTCCTCCCCGCCCCTGCCACGAAAACCCTAGCCGCCACTACCCATCGCGCCTGCAGGCTGCAGCAGCCGCCGCCGCTCTCGCGACGCCGACGGTGCTCTCTCCTTCTTCTCTCCAACCCGAGCCGCCGCTCTCTTCTGCACCTCCGACCTCATCCCCATTGGATTGCGACCGACCCACCCTTGTGCTCGAGTCATGGAGGGGCAGCAGACGGTGGTGGACAAGGAGAGGCACTGCGAGGCGTCAGATGCATCTACGCACATCCACCTCTCCACCACCACGCGCAAGAGGGGGAGAGAGGGGGAAAGGGAGAGGGGAAGAGCTCGGGGCCCGAGCCGACGGAGGCCGACCTGCTACAGCCACATCATGTGATGCAGGTGCTCCTCACCCCCAGCTCTCGTCTCCCTTCTCTCTCGCTCCTATCTCTCTTCTCTCCTGGTCTTAGGTCTTTCTCAATTTGGTGCTTCCCCTGTCCATGTGCAGAGAAAAGGAGAAGAAGGGGATGGATCAGCAAGGAGCAAAAGGACAAGAAGAATAAGGGCAAGGGAGGTGGGGTGCTATGCATGTCCATGGAGGTCCGGCCCCCTCTCCTCCTATCTTCTCTTTCCTTGTACTATAGCAGCCCTTAATCCCCTTTGATTCAATTTGTTCAGCTGTGTTACTTGTTGTCTCCTAAGAAAAACTAGAAAACCTGAAGAAAATTGTATTGAAAGATTTGATTATATTCACCTGAAGAGTTGAGCTTGGTTGGAGTGAATTCGATTTGTTCAGTTGTGTTACTTGGTCTTCTCATCGCCCCTAGCCCTGACCTAGGGTTTGGTTTGCAGCGGCAGAGGGCAGCAAGTGGAGAAAGATGAAGGCTGCACAACACCAAGGTAGGCTCGACTCCCTTTCTCCCCTCTCTCTATTTCTAAATTGTTAGAGGGATTCATGTTGATCTCAGATGTTAGTTAGTGATTTTGTTATCTCTTTTCTCTCTTGTGAACATGGTTATGTATTGGATATTCATAGAACTTTATATCATATACTTTGAGCATCGCTGAACCAACTGAATGTCAAAGATGCATGCTTTTCTTTTGATTATTGTGGCCATCCTCCATCTGCAGAGCCATGGGGTATTTCCATACTCCCAGACCAAATGATTTACCAATAAAAACTATCATTTGCTTTTGTGTGTGTGTAAGTGCATCTAGTGCCCCTTAGTGATTTTGGTGTATTGAAGACTTATAGGTTAAGGGACTAATGTGTTTATGAGTGTACACAGGTCTATAAGTCTATGAGGAGTTTGATATTTACAAAGAAAGTTGACCCCTAAAAATGAAGTTCTTCGACTGAAGACTTTGATATTCTAAAGACTTTCTGAAGACTTTGAAAGTGAAGAAATTGGCGTGACCTTGAAGACTTGGTATTCATTTGAGGAACATGAAGCATGAAGACTTTTGTTTTCGTTGTTTCGTTTTCTCTTTCTTGAGTCATAGGAAACACCGTACTGTTAAAGGGAGTCGAGGAAATACTAAGGAAAAATTTCCATGTGATGCTCAACTCAAAATCCTACACCTACCAATCCCTTCGAGTGAAGCCTTTGGAAATCTCATACAGTTTAGTCAATTTCTTCAGTGATAGAGACGAAGTTCTTCTGGTCGCTGAGGAATTTGTTCTGATTGAGGAGTTAGGAATTCGCCAGTGCGGATTGCCTACACAGTGAGGAACATGATAGCCTTGAGGAATTTGAGAGTCAAATTTCCGACTGTTGCTGTGCTGCGCGCCAGCTGTCCCAAAATATCTTATCCACCTAACAGTCATATCATTGAAGGGCATTTATGTCTTATCATGTCGGGCTGCTCCCTGGGCTATAAATAGCTGCCCCCTACAACCACTAGCTGGTTGGCTGCTCCGAGAGAAACTGACACTTGTCATTTGAGAGCATCCCATCCTCCGAGGACTTTGAGGGAAAATCATCGAGTGAGGAAAAAACCAAACCCAAACACCTAGAAACCCAAACACCTACAAACCCAAAGTGATTGAGCATCACTGAAGAGATTGATCCTGCGTGGATCCGACGCTTGTTACCTTTGAAGATTGTGCTTCTTCCAGACGGTTAGGCGTCATGGTCTAGAGCATCCAAGAGGAATTGTGGACGCCGAGTGACCGAGTCTGTGAAGGTTTGGAAGTCGCCTGAAGACTTACCACGAGTGATTGGACGAGGTCTGTGTGACCTTAGTTCAAGGAGAATACGGTGAGGACTTGGTGTCCTGAGCTGCGTGCTCAGCGACTGGGTGTCCGGGACTGTGTGTCCTCGAGTTTAAATACTCAGCCGCTCCAACCAGACGTACAACTGAGACAGCAGTTGGAACTGGTCTACCAAATCATT